CTTCAGGAGATTTTGCACTGAGAAGACAGGGTCTTGTAAATACACAATCCTGTCGTCTGCAAATAGAGACAATTTGACTTCCTCCTTTCTTAATTGAATACACTTTATTTCTTTTTCTTGCCTGATTGCTCTGGCTAGAACTTCCAATACTATATTGAATAGGAGTGGTGAGACAGGGCATCCTTGTCTAGTGCCACATTTCAAAGGGAATGCTTCCAGTTTTTGCCCATTCAGTATGATATTGGCTGAGGGTTTGTCGTAAATAGCTTTTATTATTTTTAGATACGTTCCGTCGATACTTAGCTTATTGTGAATTTTTAGCATAAAATTGTTGAATTTTGTCAAAGGCCTTCTCTGCATCTATTGAGATAATCATGTTGTTTTTGTCCTTGGTTCTGTTTATGTGATGGATTACATTTACAAACTTGCTGTAACGGTGTACTACCTCGGTAATGGCAGTCTGCCTCAGTAATGTCGGATGCCCTTCCCCCAACAAAGCTGGACCGTACAGGGTCCAGCTGCGCTTGCTGTGAAACTCTCAATCCAGAGCATTTCAGATTGCTGGTCTTTGTGGGGGTGGTACCTGCCAAGCCAGATCACCTGGCTCCTTGTTTCAGCCCCCTTTTTCTCAGTTGAATGGGTGGCTCTGTCTCCCAGGTGTTCCCGGCTCCAGTTGAAATGACCGCCTAGATTTATGTGAGTTTTTGTGTGGAGACCCGCTGCACCAGCTGTAACAGCTGTGCTGGAAACTCACGGCACTTTTCAGCCCAGAAATCTCCTGGTGTGTGGGCAGTAATAACTCTTTTGGAAATGCAGTGTTCACTCACTCTCTGCATTGTTCTCATTGGGAACTGCTCTACAGAGCTGTTCCTATTCGGCCATCTTGGATCCCCCGGTTGTGTTTTCTCTAATTGTTTTCTACCTCAATCCCAGGATATCATAGTTCAGTTATTAGAGAATACATGATCCCTGCTAACATTCAATTCCACCTCCTAAATAGCTCTCAAGCCCACCCACTTTTCTCCCATTTCAGTAAGTCACCCAGCTCTCTATCCCCTACCATCCACTCCTGCTTCCTTCCAGCTCAGTCTCTACACAGATCAAAGGATTCACATAGAATGAAAGGCCATTGATTGTGAAAGAGAGAAAAGCAGCCCCTGACAGCTGAAAACTGGCCCAACACTATCAGCTAGGCCCGGGGTTGCTAGGAGCTGGCCTGGCCCTAACAAGTAGGCTTAAGCGTTCTCCTGTGGACTATAAACAATCTCGTAGAATAACAGCATTAGACAAGGCCACTCTGTGACAGTGATGAATCAAGACAAACAAGACAGCTCCGTAAGCATGTCTGGCACAGATGAAATGTGAGCATTGTCCAAACCACACAAATGGCTACATATTCTCCACATCCCAGAGAATGATGACTGCACATTCTTTACCAATTCTAACTCTAGCTTCACCACATTCCTCTCTTATTTATAAAGACAGGATTAGAAAACCAACCACAGAATTACCCATTCTATGACAGCATGCAATCCAGAATAAAGCTTTCACTCATTGAAGCCTCCTCAAATCACCTAGTACAAACCGCAATCCTATAAGTCCTTCCAACAGCCTCTTACAGAGAGAGCCCATGATTCTCCCTGAGGCTTCTCCCTTGTTGTAATGACCACTAAATCCAACTTTCTGAAACATAGGCATGTTCCTGGTGGTCTTTGGTGCAGAGTATTGATCACTCTTAGCTAAAAAAGAATAGACTTCTTCAGATAGACCACCTGGGTTCGAATCCCAGCTCTGCCACTTCCTCCCCACCATGTACTTCCTAGGCCAAGTTATGAAACTTCACTGGGCCTCAATTTGCTTATTTGCAATTACAAATTACATATGTAATTTGTTACCTACTTCTTTCAGTTTTTTTGAAAGTTATAAAGTAATACATGTAAAGCATATATACCACAACATTAAAACACATACCAATCAAATCAATCCTACTTGATAGCCAAAGTCATCACTGTGGCTAATAAAGCCGTTGTTAATTGGCTGTTGCTGACCTTTTTAGCCTCAAAATACCTCGGTTTTCTCCTCTATAACAGGAGGATAATAGTATCAATAATGGTAGAAGGATAATGACATCAAATCAATGGTATTACAAAGATTAGGTAAATTTCACAACTACATGTGGCGGGATCTTTGGAATACCTCTCTCCATCAGCCCATCAGCGCTTATTAGGCATACAACAGATGTTACTTTACCTCCCTTATTTGGGCAAATAATTAACTCTTTCAGTCCCTCTGTCATCTCAGCTGTAAAGTCACAGGATTAGATTAACCATGTTCTGTGGAGCACATGTAGGTGTTTTGAGGGCTCTGCACAATTTTTATTTGTATTGTAAAATGTATTTAAGGAGAAAAAAATATTTAATTTTGTAGATGCTGTGACTGATACAAGGCCGTTGTCATTCACAGCCCCTGGAATCCATATAAAAAACACAGACCCTTAGCAGTGTCCACACCAAACAGAAAATCCAGAGATACTTGTTGAACAGATGAAACTGGTTTCACATTTTTGAGTTTTAAATGTGTTTCATCAAAATGACCTCATGTATTAATATCATACTAACCAATGTTATTATACTTGGATTTGTAAGTTTATCCTGTTAAATTTTTTTGTGAGGTATATGTTTATTGTCAAAAAGGTATGTAAAATGTTAATTTAATATGCTTTATATATTGGAACTCTAAGTATTTTTACTGGAAAAAATAAAAGCATCTACAGCTATAAAAGTTAACGTGTAATTTGACTATATCATCTCTAAGCATCTTCTGACTCAGGATGCAGAGTCACATAATTTCAATATGGATGCTGTATACTATATAAGTGGGCAATTACTGCTTTTTAAATAAGTGGATTCTTCTCTTAGTTAGAAAACAAAAATTTCATTTTGGAAAAAAAATAGCACTATTCTGTATTACTCACAGATGCCAAGAAACACACACACACACACACACACACACACACATCAGAGCCCGTGAATACACCCATGACTGCTGTTGACCTCCTGAATCTATGTGCAGTGAATTATACTTGCACTGCTGGACTATTACTTTTAGATACACTGGTAATAAGCCCTTGAGATGATTACACTCTCTCCTACCCGAATAACGCTATCAAGTTATACTGAATCATTTTACTCTTAACAATCAAAACTCTGCCTGGAAAATATTCAACAGGGCACTGTTCAGCATCCCTCTGATTACAGTAGCTGAGACACTCAAATACCTTGAGCATAGACTGTACAAAGGGTGATCAGGAAAACAGAAATTGACTTGGAATAAACTTCAATAATCACCCCCAAAACATGGAAATCATCAAAGCATTTTAAAGACTCAGAAGTGATCCAAGACATCCCTATCACATAAATAAGGAAACTGAGGTCCAAAAAGAGTATTTAATTTCTTCATCCTCAATTACCAAAGCAATAAATATACTAGTACACAATCTTGGTCTCAACCTTTCCTATTACATCATATGTATTCAATACACTTTATTTTAATTGAGATCTAGTTGAATTGCAATCTAATGGAGAAAATGTTTTATTTCTAGGAATGTAGTAGACAAATAATCTCAATATCTGTCCTACTAAAAATAACCAAAATGCCTATAAATACTTTAAAATTGTCTTAAATGCAAAGATAATCTAGCAAGAAAATAACGAATACTGAGGGTAAAACCTAAATGAACACAGGTAGAACACTGAAGCCACCATTCAACAACCTGAGGGCAATTATTTGTGGAAATTGACCATTGGTTTTTATGTTCTTGCTGAACTCAAAAGACCATATTCAGGGACACCAAATGTTTTATGTTGGACCCACCCCATAAAGCCAGAACCCAAAGAACTATACCTTCAGTAAATAGGTACATGGAGTGGAGGAATGTACTAGTAGAGGTCTTCAAGGAAAATTGTCTTGCTGAAATACTGTCACCAAGAAAAAATAAATGCCCTGAAGTTGTAGCTCAAAAGCTAGCCTTCAGGTGAACTCATTGTCTGGAGCAAATAACATTTTTTATAGGGATAATCTGCCCTCATTACAAGCTTTAAAGAATTTACACTGGTAATATATCACAAAAAAAATTCTCATAACTAGAATTTACTTGAACATACAAAATTTAAAAAAAAGGAACTAAAAATAACTCAAATGTCACTTGTCAGGTGAGTAGGTAAACAAATTGTGGTATATCCAAACAACAGGATACTATGAAGCAATAAAAAAGAATGAATAACCAATAGACTCGACAACTTGAATGAATCTCAAATGCATTATGCTGAGTGAAAGAAGCCAGTCTCACAAGGTTGACATATTATTTGATTTCATTTATACAGCATTTTGGGAAAACATATAAAGATAAAACAGATAAGCAACTCCCAGGGGTTAGAGGTAAATAACGTATTGAGTGATTTTATTGAGAAAGAACTTTTTATTCATCAAAGCTACTGACTACTGACTGGACACTACTACTCCATGAAGTAATGAGATTCCTGTCATTAGGGGGTATTTAAAGCCCTGACTAGATAATAATATATCAGAGATATTATAGAAGAAATTTATGTTTTACAGTTTGGACAGATACCCTCTAAATAATCTATTCCATCCCTGAGGGACTCCATGTGTAAGATAAAGCCTGGTTTGCACTGAAGTATACCTGGCCATGGCTAACATTAAATAAACATGCTTCTGGCACTGACAGCTCACAGAATAACTCTCAATAAATAAGTAATTCACAAAACTATGTGCAATCAACAAATTTGGAGTGTTAACTGATATGGTTTGGCTTTGTGTCTCCACCCAAATCTCATCTCGAATTGTGACCCCCACATGTCAAGGGAGGGAGGTGACCAGATCATGAGGGCAGTTAGCCCCATGCTGTTCTCATGCTAGTGAGTTTTCACGAGATCTGATGGTTTCATAAGTGTTTGACAGTTTCTCCTTCACACACTCACTCTATTCTGCCACCTTGTGAGAAAGGTTCCTGCTTCCCCTTCCACCTGATTGTAAGTTTCCTGAGGTCTCCCCCACCTTGTGGAAGTATGAGTCAATTAAACATCTATTCTTTATAAATTACCCAGTGTTGGGCAATTCTTTTTTTTGTTGTTGTTGTTGTTTTTTTTTTTTTTTTGAGACTGAGTCTCACTTTGTTACCAGCCTAGAGTGCAGTGGCACTTAGGCAATTCTTTACAGTAGTTTGAGATAGACTAATACAATAACTTTATGGTAACTGCTATACTAAGCTTAGTTAAGGAGACAGAAATCTAAGACATATTCATCACACTGTAGAAGTTGAAAGTGTTGCTGGGAAGAACAATCATTAATACCTGAAAAGTTAAATAACATACAAGAGTTAAATAGTAATGCGTGGTAGTAATGCAAGAAAGGCAACATGTAAAAACATGTCTAAATGCCAAATCAGATGTAGAGGTAGTAAGAGCTATGGAGAGGAGGGGAGCTACTGGACATCTTCTGTATGTCCCCCATATCCCCTCTGTATCCTGATTCCACATGCTGTGTGCCCACAAAGCTAGTCCATATAAATACACCAAACAGACTCTCTTCTAGATTGTAATTGGATTCAGTCAGTGGGGGGCCCTGTAAAAGAACAAGAGGGTGAGATGAGTCAGGTGAAGGTATTTATTCCCCCTATTCCTTCCTTCCCATTAGGAATCCATCTCTACAGCTCCCTATCAAAGTTCTGGTCACCACTGACTCCACTTTGCCCTTTTGTCTAGGGATGGTAATGGTTCCCACTTATTGCTAGTCTCAAGGCACTTCATCATCCTTTTTTGGTATTTCAAAACCCTGGTCCCACCTTTCAAATAGTCTATTTAATTATCTTCAAATTACTTCATTTGATTTTGCCATTTGCTGGAGCCTGTATTGATACTGTGGATAAAGGAGGGCTTACTCTGTACATTGCAGTAATCAGGAGAAGCCTTGTGGGCTGGAGCAAGGGTTTTAAGGATGGGTAGAAAATAGACATTGCTGTATCTATAAGGTTTGTCCAATGGCTAGTGATTACATTATGCATAGACAGGGACTCAAAACCTGCACAGTCATGGAGAAGCATGGGGCCTACTGAGGGTAGAGTGGGTCCAGCTGATTTCAATGGGAATGCTGGATGTATGTGTTGGTGTGTGTAGCGGGGGAGGAAAAACACATTCATACATTCAAACAGTATCAATTAAACTCATAATATATGACATGCATCATGCTAGGTTCTTGGAAAACAATGGGGAGCAAAACAGTCTTTTCCAGAGTGTATTAGTTATATGTTGCTGCATAACAAAAAATCCCAAAATGTAGCAGCTTAAAACAATATTTTGTTATCACACACTCTTTGAGTCCAGAATTCAAGAGTAGTTTAGCTGGGCAGTTATAATTCCAGTTTCTCATGAGGTTTCAGTCCAAACATCAGCTAGGCTGTGGTCAATTGAAGGCTTGATTGGAGCTGGAAAATCTGGTTCTAGGATGGCTCACACACAGCAGACAAGTTTATTCTGGATGTTGCCAGGAAGTCTTGTATCATGGACTCCTCTATAGGATTGACTGTCTAACATGGCAGCTGGTTTACCACGGTGAGTGACCCAAGAAAGAGCAAGGTGGAAGTCATAATGTCTTTTTTAACTTAGCCTCAGACATTACAGTCTGTCATTTCCCCCAGTGTCCTATTGGTCAAACAGGGTGACCATACTCAGTGTAGTAGGGGACTACACATGGATGTGACTTCCAAAAGAGAAGAATCATTGAAGGGTCATCATCGAGACTGGCTACAATATGCGTTTTACAGTTTCCATGTCATAATCACACACACCAATGGCATAATTGTAACCTGTAATCAATACAGGGAAGAAAACCCTGAGAACCACTAAGTGATCTAGCGAAGGATCTGATTGAAATTGAAGGCAGAAATGGGGAGAGACTCATCAGTCACAAGGTGAGTCATGGGCACCTGACCTAGAACAATTGGCTCTAGACAAGTTTAGTTCTTGTACAATCAGCACATTTCCACGTGGAATCTCTTATTAACTAAAGTTTCCACAGCAAGGAGCAGGACAGTCAGAATTCTTAGTGGATCTTTCTCTCCTGCTTTCACCTTTCTACGTTTCTTTCCATGATTCTTTTGCCTCACCCCAATCCAAACCTGTGTATATCTTCCCTCCAGTTAACAGGCACAATCTCCTCATTTTCTAATTTTCCCATGGTGATTCTAGTTCAACTAAGAAAAACAAACAACAAAAATAATCAATGCACATAGAATATAATTTCAATCTCTCTACTTGGAAAATAAAAACAACTAGGTGTCACTCTAGACAATACTGAGAATGCCAAGAACCAGCCATCTGGACCTCTTAAGTCAGATAATAGAATTGAAATCCAGCTGCAGAGACACCTGGAAGGGGTCTCCAGCATTCCTGTAGCTGCCAAAGTCCCAGTCTCACAATCAAGTAGCTTATAAATTAGAGGAACAATGCAGTTGCTCAAGTCTTCTTGATGCTCACAAATGGCCTTCTCTGCTTACTTCCTTTATAGAACTGAGGAATAAGGCATGGCCTAATTAGTCCAGAGAATACAGTGGTCAATAATTCTCAATGGAGGGAGAAAGCCTCTGAAAGATGTATTGAAATCCCAGGAGCGTGAAGTCTAGACCAGACCTCCAAGTGATTGATATCAAACATTTACAGGAATACTTACCCACCATTAGAATTTCTGCTGATATAAACTCATTTAAAATTACTATAATTCCAGAACCTATAATAGAATAAACATGTTGATTCTTCTACTTGGCTCAGAAAAAAACTGCAATGCAGAAGAAAGAACACAGGAGTTAAGACATGAGAGACGGAATTGTAGTCCCAGCTCTGCCACTTGTTAGACAAATTTCCTGAATAAATCACTTCCCCTCCCTCAGGCTCAATACTCTCATCTCTACAATGAGGGGGCAAACTGGGGTAATTTCTAATTATCTCCCCAGTGGCCTTAAGGCCGCACGCAGCTCTAAGCATGCAACTAACAAATTAGGGATCTCTCACCCTTAGAAAGACACATACTGCCACCAGAAAATTGTTTTGCTTTTTAATGAAGTAAGGGAATAATGAGGCTGTCCAACTCTCTCTTGTGATCAGGGTATATAGGCACATATTTGGAGGAGTAAGAGGAATCAGGGAGAGGGTGGAGGTTCAAAACAAAGAATGAAAGGTCCGTTTATCAATCCCAAACCTGTGTGGTATATTAGATTATTATTCAAGAATATTTACTCCCCCCATTTCCACTCCATGGAAGGGATGGCCCTCATTTTGCCTTGCCTTTGCACTGGACCTGGTGGCTTGCTTTAACCAACAGGTTGTTTGCAAACATAACTGCAAAGGAGTGGCTGAAAAACTTCTTATGCAATTGAATGTGCCCTCTTGTCCTTCTACCATTGTGTGAGAAGAGCTTCCTCTAGGAGCTGCTGCTCCTTCAGCCTGGGCCTCAGAATGAAACATTCTGAGGAGACCCAAGCCAGCAAACCCACAGCACAAATCAGGTTGCTCCAACCAAACTGTAGATAGGTGAGAATAAAATCAGTGCTTTAAGCTCTCGTGTGATTGTTACCCAGAAAAAGGTAGCTGATATACCTGGTTATGTGTAAGAATCACATGATAACATTTAAAACAATGAGATCCAAGGGATCAGACTCTGAGTCTGCTACCCCAGACTCTCTCCCAAGAAACAAATATCTCTCCCTATGTGATTCTGATGCAGCCATTCACCACACTATGCCTAGTAACAACTGCTTTAGAACAGTCTTTCTCAATGGATAGCTCACAAATCACCTGTGTCTAAACTACCAAGAGAGTTCATAAAAATATTAAGTTCTCAAGACCCTTTCCACACCTAATGAATCAGAGTTTCTGGACCTGAACACAGTTAGTGCGCACAAGCTCTCCAGGTGATTCTAATACATACTGATCTGACAACCAGGGCTCTTATACTATGATTCCCAAATGAGCATATATCAAAATCACCAGCACCACTTGTTTAAAGCACAGACTTTTGGGCTCCAACCCCTGAGTTTCTGTTGCAGAAAGTATGAGGTGGGCCTGAGAATATGCATTCCTAATAAGATGCCAGCTGATGCTGCTGGTCTGGACATCACACTTTTGAAAGAACCTATCTGATTCACAGTCTGAGCTGCACATTTGAGTCATCAAGAAAACTTAAAAATGCAAATAACAGATTCCCACTCCATATATTCTGATATAATTAGTCTGGGGTATAGCTTGCGTGTAGGAATTTTCCAGAGCTACCCCAGGTGATTTTCTTTTCTTTTTTCTTTTTTTTTTTTTTTTTTTTTTTTTTTTCTTTTTCAGACAGAGTCTTACTCTGTCACCCAGGCTAAAATGTAGTAGTGCGATCTCAGCTCACTGCAATCTCTGCCTCCCAGGTTCAAGCAATTCTCCTGCCTCAGCCTCCCAAGTAGCTGGGATTACAGACACATGCCACCGTGGCCAACGAATTTTTGTATTTTCAGTAGAGACAGGTTTCACCATGTTGTCCAGGCTGGTCTTGAACTCCTGACCTTGTGATCCACCCACCTCAGCCTCCCAAAGTGCTGGGATTACAGGCATGAATCACCGTGCCTGTGGTGATTTTCACTACTGCCAATGTGAGGTCCACACTGACCTTACCCTGAGGTCTATAACAGTTCCTGTCCAGTGAACTTGCTCACTGCCATCCCACACAGAAAGGGCTTCCAGGAAACAGCTGGCGAGTGTTCAGGTTTTCACACTGGACTGGAACACCTTAAAGTTTCGGGGGTATTGCATCAGATCTCTAGCTATAGTTACCTCCTCCCACTTCAATAAGAGCAGCTCCTTTTTTATCATTTTCTATATTGTTCTTTCTTCTAAGGTTTCATTTGAAGAAAGAGTCCCTTGGCTAAAAAAACAAATTGAAAACCACTAATATAAGGAAAAGGACACTAAGCGGAAAATCAGCAGGCCTTGCTTCTAGCAATGTAATAATTTAACCTCCCTGAGCTTCAGCTTCTCACTTGATCAT